AAAAAATGTTTCTGATTAAGTTACAAATAATCATTCCCCTATAGCTAAACTTCATGACTAGGCTCCTATCCTCAAAGTCAAGAACAAGAGTTTCATCCACTTATCTGAAGTAACCGTATTAGATTAAAGAAATACAATTCCGTTCTCCTAAAGACAATTTCCAGAAAGACTCCACTGTCCCCATGAGGTACTTGATTCTAGGTCCTGGCACAGGCTAATCGCTGTATGGTTTCTTAGAAGACTGGCTCTTCTCAATTTCTTTCTCTTTGATACTGTACAGGGGGTCCACCAACTTGTTATGAACAAGCATTAAGCCTACAAGAAATTAAAAACAAAAAATAGTTAATGCAAGTATGGGCAAGATGTCAGTAACATCTAGAAGCTCATAAATTTGGTCCCAGAACTGACAATTCTCTTTGCCTGTGATCCCCAAATGACAAACACTCTAAGAGTAGGAAAATCATTATTCTTAGTGCTAAAATTCGTGGAACTTTTGTAAATTGAATCACTATTGGAGTTGGCTATTTAAAGGTTAACTTTTCAGCAAAGAGCAAATTCCTAATTTACCTGCGTAGTAAAGGAAGATTTTCATTTAAGTTTGCTTAAAGCAGTATGTATCCTTTTAAAGTAAAAGAAAGACCCTCATGACAGCTAGTTTAGTGCTTCACCTGGAGGAGATCTGGAAAGAGAAAGCCTAAAGTTCGATATCACTGCAAGGAGATCACCACACAGCCCTTTGCCTTTTCTTTCCTCCTCAGAGCAAAGAGATCTCCAAAAATGGACCCATCAGCTATTAGTAGATGGAGTCTCACTTTGTCAACCTTGGTAGAGTGCTGTGCCACCACAGCTCACAGCAACCTCAAACTCTTGGGCTAACCAATTCTTTTGTCTCAGCTTCCCAAGTAGCTGGGACTACAGGCACCACCTACCACAAAGCCTAGCTATTTTTAGAGACGATGTGTAGCTTTTGCTCAGGCTGGTCTCGAACCTGTGAGCTCAGGCAATCCACCTGCCTTGGCCTCCCAGAACGCTGGAGGTTTGATTTTTATTAAGATCATTATCTACTATCAATAAAAATGGCCAGAGGATGAAAGCTAGGTTCTGTCCTCATCACTCCTGGTACACCCTGAGCTTGACAACTTACTCCGAGACCCAGCCCTTCCTCACCTTTGAAATACTTGACAGTCTTCACTTTCAGCTCCAAGGTGGCATCTTCATCACACACAAACACAGTACAGGGATGCTGCTGGAAGGCAGACACAGTCCACATGTGGTTCACTCCCTCCTCGATGGCCTTGTACAGAGCAAACGCCTTGTGAGCACCTGTGATGAGGATCATCACCTGGGGATCAGAAAACAAGCCTGTGTGGCTCGGCGCCTATAGCTCAACCGGCTAAGGC